AAGTTCCATAACTCGAGAAGCTGCTAGGTTCTAGGGAAATCCATAAGGTCAGCTGGTCTTAGTCCGCGGAGCCAGATTGTGAAGTTTAAAGAGTCAGTATGGAAGCTCGCCAGAATAGTGGCTGGCAATGGTAATCGAATATCATTTTGCATGATGTCTGGACCAAGAGGGGAGCCTCCCTTTATGAATATTTCCCTAGAGTCGTTGCTGCGTCTGCTTTCCCCTCGCCAAGCTGTATGAAGTTTGCAAAATTGAAAATGTGAGAGTTTCTTGGGATATCCCCTTATTTTTCATCTAAGGGGCGGGGCTGAGAGAGAAAGGTAGCGTTTATTCACTTACTTGGAAAACCTACCTCCTCTTTTCTTTTCTGCAGGTGAAGACAAGATGACATGGAGTACCTCAATGACGGCCGATTTCAGTGTCAAATCTATGTACGCGATTGATTACGGAGAGGTCACTTGGAGCTGACGATTACCCTCATCAAGTAGTCGGCAGTCCCACATACCATAAAAAAATATGTGCATTTGTGTGGACTCTTCATCAAAAAAGGATTCTAACACAAGATGTCCTGAAGAGGTGTGGATGGCATTTGGCAAACCGCTGCGTTCTCTGCTCTACATGTGAAGAAACAAGAAACCATTTTATTCATCAGTTGTACCTTAACAAAGGAAGTCTGGCAAATCATTCGATAGTTTGTAAAGGTACCCATTAGCCTCCCTAATGACATTACAGTGGCAATTGAGAGATGGCTAAAAAACAAGCCGAGTAATCCAGCGGGGTGGTGCTCTAAATCACTTCTGCATGCCTTCTGTTGGCCGATCTGGAATGAAAGAAACATGAGGATCTTCAAAGAGAAGAGTGTAGTAGGTAGAGTCCCCACTTTCAAGATTAGGCTACTAATTTCCAGCTGGTTGGAGGCTGCAAATCTTGTGGAGAAAGAACTGGTAGAAGAATAGTTGACGGCTACCAAAAAATATTAATTAAGTTGAAATATTATGGTTACAAGACAGAAGTACAGAATGAGTGTATTGCTTCACATATAAGTAAGCATACATCCAAAATGAGATTGTCATTCTCAATGCTATTACAACTAAAGTTAAAGATAGTAGAGTCATCATACCCTCTACGTTAATGTCAATGCCAAAATCCATATCCACATATTCCATTATACTCTCTAAAGTAATCGATTCTAGTCATTGCACCTTGTTTTCTTGCCAAAATCCTACCATGAACACCATTTATAATTGCCGAAAAGAGGAAAATTAGGCAGAAAAACAATATTAATAAGTAAAGAGAGAACCAAAATATTTACAACACCAGTACATCCACATCTTTATGAACACACATCAGAAAGATTACAACACTATTATTATATATATACCATTAAATGCACAATAACAAAAGCAATCAAATGCCAAATGTACCATGATATAAACAGAAGAAATATCAAGAAGTGGGGGCCATAAATACAATTTATTAATCTAGAAAATTAAACTAAAAGTAGAACATAACATGTCAGATACCTCCCACCACTTCTCAACGCAAGTAACTAGGTGCAAAGATGCAAGGAACAAATCTCCTAATTCTTAGTTGTGATATCTCTCATACAAAAGAATAATAAATTAAAAACTAAATCTAAGTATTCATAATACGATTTAGAGTGCTTACTAATACTTACCAGCGAATTCCCTCATTTTGCTTGATGTTGTCGCATGAACTGTTCAAAAACTGATTGTCCTTCATTGAGTTTGACCATATATTTCTCTAGGTGGCCACATCAGACATTCAACCGAGTGTTTTCTGCAGTCAACCTTTCATTTTGCTCATTCACCTGACTCACATTTTCTTCCAGGCTCCCACATCTCTCTTGCAAAAGGGCATTCTCTTCTGTCAACTTCTAATTTTCTTGACTGACTTGGTCCATATTTACCTCCAAATGGACACATCCCTCATGTACACGATTGTTTTCCTCTGTCAGCTTCCGATTTTTCTCTCTAACTTGTGCACACTCATTCAAAGCACGTATGTCAACTCTCTTAGTTGGGGGGTAATGGCCCATACCCAACTCCAATCAAACATCCAAAATCAGATCCTAAGACTTCTGAAATGCTTCATCTTATGTCACTGGATGGTCAGTATCTTTGGTCTCGTCCACCTTTTGTTGCATGCGACTTTGCACAAACAATAAATATCATCATCACATCTAACTACGGAAAGCATCTTGAAACATAACTAATGAGTAGTTAAATAATGTATTATTCACATATACAAAAGTCGAATGCTCATCTTTCCACTCGCCCGTTTTGGTAGTTCTTACTTTTTTGAAGAAGTCGATCTTGTTCTTCACTCCACTTCCTTCTTTATTAAGCTATACATATGGTCAAACAATGATCATACAAACAATATAAGGCTTTGATAGCAATATGTCATCATAGATAGTATCTAAAGATAAGAACAAGAAACTAACCAGCTTATGATATAAAGGAACTAAGGGAACTGGTCCTTGACAATTGACATGCTGGACCTGATTCCTATTTTCATCATTCTTCACACATAATGCCTATAACCTACTAATATTAGTTCTTGTTTTCATTGTAAAATCCATACATTAGGTAGTGTTGGCAGAAAACATACCTGTACTTTTGGAGTTGCCCAATACTAACATAATAAGTCATGCCATACCCCTTGGCCAAGATTACGTAGCTTATGTTCCTTTGCTGTTTCATTATAGCGGCGATATACCCTACGGTAATAGCTTTATGTTCCCTTCACTATCCTCAAGAATTGTCTCCAAAGATGGCTCCTAGTCACGATGTCTCCCACATTGACAATATTCAACTTCACCTATAATAAGGTTAACAGATGTAAATAACAATTGAAGAGGGAAGTATGATTTTGTCATAAGCATATAACAATCTTCATTACCTCTAAGCTCAGATTAACTTCATCGAGAATTCGTCTTCTTTGGCCTATTTTTATGTAGGCCATACATAGTCAAGGGCAAGCTGCCCCATTTCAGAAGAAACAACCAAACAACCTCTCCTAGATAATGTCCACCCAAGTACAAGATCTATCTCCACTTCCAGCTTCCTTCCATTCCTTTCGTTTTGCTTATGAAGTGCAAGTCCACGTGTCAATCCTCTTCCCCACTTCTTTTGTTGTTTGTTCCCACCTGTTATTGCAAAAAGAAATAACCAACAAAGATAAATCAAAGTAGTACTTATACTACCAAATAAAAAGGAGAAGGCAAACCATAATCTAAAATGCTTACTACAATTAACCGACTTTACGGTTCCTATCCTACTGCAAAACTTCTACAGAATATGCATAACCATATAGGCACTAGATGATACATAAATTCCAATAAAAGCACATCATCATTAGCAGATTGCTCATTCTTCTCTTCTTCAACAGACTCAAATGAGTGTATTCGTGCATCATCATTGGAGGAGAAATGCTTCGAGCGTTGTCCTCATCCAAATAAGTTGAGCTACTTGCTGTAAAAGCGTTTCAAACATTTGGTTTCATGTATAGTTCATTCATGATACTTATAAAAATGACTTAAGAGTTGTTTTGACTTGCTTACCATTAATGACATGATCTGTTTGTCTAGGCACATTATTAGGAACATTTACCGACGATGTCTGTTTTTCATTGATTAGTAACTCACCTTGTAAAGTTTGTGTCCGAGACAAAGACAGCTCTTTGACGAAAACAGTGGATGTTGTGTTATGTTTTGCTAATCCATATGGTAATTGAATAGGAAAAGGTTATACATCGCTACAATATAACATGAATAACCAAATGTTGACGCGTGGAAAAGGAGTTATCACACAATCATGATGAATGAAAGCAGACAAGTCAAAAAATAATATAATTGAGTATAAAAACAAAGATAAGAGTTGAACTATCATATATGATATGACTAAGAAAATTACCTTGTTTTGGGATATTAGAAGAAGAAAGCGCTCCACTACTTTTCGAGATTGGGGGTAAAAGGACAGAACCATTATCTCCAGCTGAAGATAATTGGTACATCAAATATGGAGCTTCACTTGGGGATGGAGGAAGCTATTGTTGATGATAGATTACTTTGTTTTTTTCTTTGAGTTTTCTTTGAGTTGGAACCACCGAGAGCCATCTCATTAACATGAAATAAGATGAAAAATCTTAGATAAGAAACTGGTTCAGCACACGATGAGAAAAATTCATGAAAGTCGTGAAAGATAACAATATACATGTGAGATGAGAGAGAAAGGTCCTAGAGATGAGAGAGAAAGATCCTATAGAGAGAAAACTTAGAGCGAGTTAGAGTAGGCGAGAGAGTCGTCGTTCTCAGGAGCGGGTGAGAGCGTTGTCTAACGATTGTTTTCCTTGCAGGTATGAGGTCGCGGGATTTGGTGTCAGCGGTGGTTATCGGGAGGATTGCAAGCGGCAGATATGGATGGATCTAAGCTGGTGTCAGTTATGACAAGGGTGTCCGACAGGGTCAGATCATTCAGATTTCAAGTTAAAGCTGGGAATAGGAAGTTGTTTATCGTGCTAGATGAGTAGCTTTTAAAGTGGATGCAGGGGATCCTTCAGACCGTCGCCATGAGACACTAGATTTTTCCAAAAGAATGTATGAAGAGGAGTGGGTACCGCATTATTCATGTGGGGCAGGGTTTTAATCGCCATGGTATTTTCCTTCAGGTTTCAGAGAAGATTCAGAGCGGCAGAGCGTTTAGCATTTTGATCCCTCTTGCAATGGACATGGCTGGCCTAAGTTAAATCAAAAAATTTCAATACTTTTATGCTGCTGAGCTCCATGCACGTTGCATGAAGGATTCATCATCTCCACCTGAACCTCCTCACCCTCTTCCATCACTCGTTGGCTGCTCTTATGCGGACGCTGTCTGAAGAGGTGGTTTTTACGATTGAGGTAAGTGTGCTATCAAAGGTCATGGCAACGAGAGGTTTATTTAGATTGGAAATAAGGTGTTCAGGTGAGGAAGGAAGTCCTTACTAGGAGTTTGGTGTTAGTCTTCAATTTGGTAGATAAGGAAGTGTTCTCTAAGAAGCTGCTACCCTGCTTCTGGCAATGGGCGAAAAGGTATTGGGTTGTCGACGAAAACTTCTCCCTTGATGACTTGACAAACGATCGGTGGATCCTCGTGTGCCCCAACATTTAGGAAGCTTCCCGGATTGTAATATTCAATGGATCTATTTTCAGAGACTTCTCCATGTGTATCTCCTTTTGGAGAGAGGACGTGGTGAGGTCGTATCAGGGGGATGCTGGGATTCTGGCTTATGACATTCCACTCCACCTTAAAATTCTTGACCTCATTGAATCCATTGGAAACTTCTGTGTCGGATTCCTGGTTGTTGATTGGAATGCTTGGAGTTCCCTGTTCGTACGAATCAAGGTTAGGGCGGTTGGTCTTATCCCTAGAGAGGTTCCTTTGAGGTTTGGAAACTCCTACTATGTTGTGAGAATCTCGAAGCCTCCGGCGGCGGAAGCCGAGCTGTCTCCGGCGGGGGGCTCTAGAGTTAGCATATGTGGTAACGATAAGAGTCGTTTGGACTCCATGGAGCATACATCGAGTACTTCTTCCAGTATGAAACCTCATTCATGCAGAAATGGGGTTTCCAAGACAGCTAGGTCTAGAAGGGGTGTGGCGGATAACCATAGAGGGATTTCAAATTCGCAGAATTTACATCTTCAGCCAAAGAAGAACGAGAGGAAAGTGTGGTTTAGAAAGCTCGGGCCTGTCCTAAACCCTAGTTTGGCGGCCCATTATGTTGGCAACAGTGGGACTAGTCTGGATCTTGGTTCGCCTCTTCATCATCTAAAGCCCAACCCACGTGCTATCTTTGCAAAACTTATAATGGATCCTACTTGGTTTCTTCCTCCGTTGAGACCAGGCCCTTTCCTCTCTTCTTTAGTCTCTAAGCTCTTAGTGGCCTGTACTTCATGGGCTTTAACTTCGTCTTCGTTACCAAAGAGCCTCCAACGCTATCGATATACCCCTTTTTCTTCACCAATTGATTTTGAAGACCTTCCTGAATGCGAGCCAGTAAACAGTCCTCCCAGTGAATCGCCCGATTGGAGCTATTCACCTTCCTCGTTGTCAAATCCTGCCTGATTAGAAATGTCGACATCTATCTTGTGCCTAGCTAGCCCCAACCTCAGCTGCGATGAGTTACCCTCTCCTATGTGAGTTGGGGCACCAAGATTTGCGCTGGGATGTTGAAGCATTCCCTTTCGTTGTTGAGACTTTGGCAGGTGAACGCTTGATGGTGAGTCATCTATTGGAATTGGAATTAGGTGGAGGCCAGGAAGCGGTGGATACTTTGGTTTCTCAAACAGCTCGATCCTTGCATCAATGAAAGATTAGAAGTGGTCGTTCTAAAACTGGAAATGGAGATTCGTCGCTTGGGTCCGTCCCCACCATTGCCCTCGAGACCGAGGCATTCTAAGCTTAGCGAAACTGGCGAGTGCCCATCTGTTTGACTATCAATCCTAAGATAGTGGGGTTCATCAAAACTAAATGAGAACAATGTTCTGATTCTATGGTGTGCAGTGTGAGTGGCAATAGAGAATATGGTTGGGTGGCGAAAGGGGCAGTAAGGAGTTCGGGTGGCATTGTTGTTTTCTGGGATAAGTGATTTTGAGAATGTTTTCTAGTAGGGAAGGGTCTTTTTACCTTGAAATTGAATTTTGGGATATCGTCAGTCTGAAAGCTTGGCATTTGATTGTGGTTTATGGCCCTCAAGACAGAAGTGACAAGTTTGTGTTCATAGGTGAGCTGAATGAGTTATGTCGTCTTCTCACTTCTCATGTATGTTTAGCAGGGGATTTTAACTTGGTCATAAGTTATAATGAATATTTAGGATCAAGGAGAAGTGCGGAACTTATGGATGAATTTAACAGTTTTATTGATGCCAACGCTCTGCTCGAGCTCCCACTTGGTGGCAGTAGTTACACATGGGCACCACGGACCTGGAAGCAGCTCTTTCTCTCGTATTGATCGAGTCCTAGTTTCTTCCGAGTTTGATTATTTCTACCAGGATGTTGCGTTGTCTGCTCTTGAGCGCGTTGGGGGGAGAACATAAGGATTCAAAGGCCTTGGAGGTTTGAAAACATGTGGCTTGAGGATGAAGGTTTTATCAAGGAGATCGATCTTTGGTGTCAATGTGCTGTTCAAGGATACGGTTTTGTTTTCTTGTGGGCACACAAGTTGCAGGTTCCGAAAGATTAAAGTGTGGAACAAAGAGGTTTTTGGTAATATCCGTCAGAAAGTTTATGATCTTTTGGGGAAAATTAAAGCACTAGATCTGTTGAAAGAGTCTTGTCGACTCTTAGAGGATGAATAGGAGAACAGGGTTGAGCTCGTCGCCACTTTAGGAAGAGCGCTCAATATGCAAGAAATCTGATGGCATCAAAGGTCGAGAGAACTTTGGTTGAATAAAGGGGACAACAACTATCGGTATTTTCACGGAGTGGCAAACTATAAGAAAAAACTTAAGAACATTAATAGCATCAAAATCCATGATATTGAATTGGAAGGAAGGGAGGCTGTTACTAATGGGATTGTTAATTTCTACAAGGTGTTGTTCTGTGAGGACTATCCCTCCAGGCCTTTCTTGAGGGACTATTTCTGGGCTGTCCTTGATGATGATGATGATCTCAAGTTGCTATGCAGGTCTTTCACTGAATTGGAAATATGGGAGGGTCTGCCGGATTGTGATGGTTCCAAAGCATCGTGTCCGAACGGCTTCACTCTAGAGTTCTACAAGAAGTGTTGGGGCTGGTTTCGGGAGGACATTGTCAATGCTTTCAATGAGTTCTTTGCATGTGGTCGAATCCCGACATGCACGTCTCATTCGTTCATCTACTTATTTCCAAAGAAGGATACGTTTGAGACTATAAGAGATCTTAGGCCTATAAGCCTCATGGGAAGTGTTAACAAACTCTTCAGCAAAGTTCTCTCCCGCCACTTCAGTCTTGTTCTTCCTAAGTTGGTGTATAAACATTAGCTTTATTGCCAATAAGCGCTGGATAGCAGGCGGAAAAGCAAGAAACCAGGCTTAATGTTTAAACTTGATATTGAAAAGATTTTTACAACGTGAATTGGGGCTGTATGTTTCATATTCTGGCTAGGCCGGGGTTTCCTCCCATTATGTCTAATTGGGTTAAGGGAGTTATGTGTTCTCCAATGTTGTCCTTTCTTGTCCAACAGGGAGGCTCACGATTATTTTCCTACATCTAAAGGGTTGCGCCAAGGGAATCCGCTCTCTCCTGGATTGTTTGTTCTTTTGATGGACGTCCTCTCCTTCATGCTAAGTAAATTTAGTGATGATGGGTAGTTCGAAGGGTGTTTAATGCATAAAGATCTAAGGCGGGGAGAAGTTACTCACCTCTTGTTTGCAGGCGATACTCTGATCTTTTGAGAATCTAATGTTGATCAAGTTGTAGGCATCTTGGTGACATTAGTATGCTTTCAGTCGGTCACGGGTTTAAGGATCAACCTTGATAAATCAGTGATGTATACGGTTGGTGACGTTCTGGAACCAGATTTCTTTGCTGATATTTTCGGGTGCAAATGGAGCAAAGACCCATCCAAATACCTCGGCTTACCTCTTGTTGTTAGGCCAAACTCCTCGGCCATTTGGGATCTGATCATTGGGAAATTTTAAAGCAAGCTTGATGGTTGGAAATGCAAGTACTTGTCGGCGGGAGGGAGGCTTACACTCAATAAATATGTGTTGTCTAACCTGTCGGATTACTATATCTCTCTTTTCAAGGCCCCGAAGGGTGAGGTTAGTTGTATGGAAAAGATTCAAAGGATGTTCATCTGGAATGGGGCGGAAGAGGGGAAGAAAACACCTCTGGTCGGCTGGGAGTTAAGCAAAGCGGCAAAAACTGATGGTAGATTAGGGGTGGTCGATCTTTCCTCTTTCAATAGTGCTATGTTGAATAAATGGATGTGGAGGTTTGCGATTGAGAGGAATGGTGATATGATCCAAACCCGAAGAGAATCCTCGAACTCGGATGATATGACCAAAGTACGCAACCTTCCTTCTTTTTAAGGATTTTCGAAGCTTTTCTCCAACTTGAACAAATTGAAATTTTAGATAGATGCAGAATCAATCAGACAATCAAAAATCGTGATAAAGGGAAATTGGTATATTAAACCAATCAGACATAATCAACTCGTGGAAAGGGGAAATTGATATAGGGTAGATGCTCGCCACAACTAGACGCGTTCTCTAGTTGATAAGAGACACGTGAAACTCCTTGAGACTCTCAAAAGAAGGTTGCACAAACGTTCACAAAGGAACACGAGTAAAAACTCTAAGGGGTCATTTGGATGAGTTATTCGTATGAGTTATTTGCACCCAAACAACTCATTTTGAGTTATTTGAGTGCAAATAACTCGTTTGTCTACAAACGTTGGTGATGAGTTATTTGTACTTGAGTTAATTGGAAATAACTCATTAATGAGTTATTGTCAATACCTCATTGGGGGTAGTTATTGTGAAATAACTCACAAATACCACATTCTCATTTTGGGAGGAATTCGACTTTTATATTAACTCGTTACACAACAACTCATCCAAACGACCCCTTAATTGATAACTTGAATATTGGGTACAAAATTTGTAGGTCTTACTATTTATAGAGATCTCAGAAACTTAAAATAACCTAAAAGGAATGGAAAAAAAATCTCAAAATAATGGATTTTTTCCAATAATAGCACCTATCAAAAATAAAAATTACAAAAATAGCACCCAGTCCAAAGAATTTACAAAAATAGCACCATTATTTGTAACCTCCAAGGTGCGTTTTATAAATAAACCGCACCAGGAGGGTGCGTTTTATCGATAAACCGCACATTGGAGGTGCGTTCCATGCCACGTCATCCAGCGAACCGCACATTGGAGGTGCGGTCTGTGTTTCCTCGGGAGCGGGCTTGGAGACTGCAGGATCAGGCGGCGATCCAGCGGCGGACCGTTTGCCACCTCAGCGATCCGTGCCACGGATCGAAGACCGCAGCTGGCAGGTGCGGTAAGTGCCTCGATCCTCGCTGAACGCATCGGGAGGGCACAGTTTCTGGCAGGGCAAAATTACTAGACCGCCCCTGTTGGGTGCAGTCTGAGTAGTATAAATACCCCATCCCCCCTCTCATTTCTTCACACCACAACCCATTTTTCACTCTCTCTCTTAAATTATCTCTCTAACCCCTCCCCTCCCAAAAGCCTAGAAAATAGTGGTCTGTTGGTTGCGGCTAAGTCCGATTTGCCATCAGAAAACATTTCCTTGGTTTTTCCCTCAAAACCCGCCGAATTTCTGTTCGACTTTCACGAAAAAATGGACGAGTGTTTCCAAGGAGAGGGAGTTTATTATGATGAATTTCATACGAGAGAAAGAAAAGCAAGAAGGTTCGGGAAAGACCTCATGTGCTTGAGATAAGGCCGTTGGAGGCGTGGAGAGTGCCGACCCCCTTGGTTGTGGCACACGGTGGCGGTCCGAGCTCACATCAAGATCTCCGCCCGAGCCACTCCCAAGATCCCCATCATGATCCCCGTCCGACCTACCATCATGATCCCCACCAGAGCTCATACTATGATCCCCGCTCGAGCTACCATCAATCCCCTCCGAGTTACCATCAATCCTCATATGATCCCCGCCCGATCTCATACCACGATCCCCGCCCATCATACTATGATCCTCGCCCACCATACTATGATCCTCGACCGATCTACCCCCAAGATCCCGGCCCAAACTTCTTCAACGAACCCCCCACATCCTTGGGTACTTGGCATGATGGTTCCTCAACGACTGCGCATCACGACTTCAATCCTATTCCTCGCCCTCATCAGCCGTGGGCTCCTACCCCTCACCGTATGAGCGTGGATGTCCCCCGCTCGACCCTGGAAGCGCCGCATACCATGGATCGACGCCGACACAGTACCGACGAGTGCCCTAACATGGCCCATCGAAGCTTGGCACCGCAACCACCAATGGTTACTCCTGTCGGCCGTCGTACAAGGAGCAAGAAAACCTTGCTTCCCAATGAGTCCCAGGACTTCCTTGAGATGTATTTTTAGTTTTATCATTTTAAGTGTTGTTTTTAGTTATGTTTTAATTATATGTACTTGAAACCCTTCCTCCTATTTTAGTTTATTTAATTGAGTGTTGTTTTAGTTCTATGTACTTGGCTTTCTCTATTTTGATCGTGTTAACTTAAAGCTTGAGTGTTAATTGAGGGTCATTTGCCAAATACGAAAGTTCCAAGCATCAAGCTCTAACTCCGTCAATAAGTGAAAACATACATAACAAGTACCAACAAATGAAAAATGCAAACTACGTCGCATTAGCTGAGTCCCCCACATCAGGAACCGGATTTTGCGGACCAATCGGACTTGGACAACTTTGTTTATCATTCCCTGGAACTCTGCATACTGAACATCGTCTTGGGCATCGTGGTGGTCTTCCACTTTGATCCATTTCGTTCTGAATTCTCTTTTTCCTCGGTCGACCCGGTTCACGCCTTTGTCAGAACGGCGGGATGATCAACTTTCCTGAGTACAATGGCCAATAAGCTTCATCAGGCAATGCACGGAAACTCCGTCCATTGCAATTTTTGAGTAAGTCGATATTGAAGAATGGACTGACGAAGTGACGGGTGTGTTTGCTCCTGTTTTTAATTACAACCATTGCATGAGAACATGGCCACCCTCTCCCCTGATACTTCTGGCATGAGCACTCACCAAGTTCCGTCCTGAAATTTAAAAAAACTTCATGGCGATGGCCCCCGCGTCTACCATCCTCACGGTGCCCGGTTGTGACGCTAAACTCGCCAGTTGCCCGATTCATAACGGTTACACTGTGTCGACTACTCTTGCGATTGTCATGCTCTAGTATTTCTGTGACTTGATTGGTATGGACCTTTCCCTGTGCCTCGTTCGTCCTTGCCTAGTGTAGTCGATTGACGAATCATCCATTCGTTTTCCAGAAAGTCATCTCCACAATGGCATAGATTGGCAGCGCCCGAACACCCTTATAGGCAGAATTGATACTCTCACTAGAGTTCGTTGTGGCAATATCCCATCTTGTACCTCCATCTTTATGAAATGTCCACATGGATAGGTCGTGTCCATCCAGCCACTGTGCCCATAACTCGCGCATCTTCTGCAACTTCTCCTGGAATGTTTTCTCTTGGTATGCAACAGCTGAGGTAATCACAATCAAGTATTACGTTAGTCATAATTTGGAAATTTAGTGTAATTCGAACAACCAGCAGGTACTCTCGTTAGACTCTTAGGAGAGGTATACATCTCCTTAGAAACACAACCTGGTTGACAGAAAAAAGGGGGATCCGAGGATCGCTTAAAACCCGATTTTCCCAGGAAATGGGAGGACCATGTTAATCGCTTAAAACCCAATTTCCTTAGGCATGCATCTCTTTAGAAAGAGTCTAACAATAAGATATTGTTATTTGACAAAATTAAACAACCAATAGAGAGCTTACCAATCCACCACAAATTATCAGCAAGCTTCATCCGCTTGAAATGATGGTTCCAGTTGCTCTTAAAGTATCGTATGCACCACCTTTGGGACCACTTCCAGGCTAGATCCAAACCTAAGATGGCAGCTCTAATCCCGGCGTGCCGATCATAGATTATTGTCAGGTTCGTCCTCTTAGTGACGTGGAGCTGAATTTGCCGGAAAAACCATCCATAGCTATCAGTATTCTCTCCCTCAACAATGGCGAAGGCTAAAGGAAATACTTGTTTGTTTGCATCCGCCCCACTGGCAATCAGTAGAGTGCCCTTGTACTTTCCGGTAAGGCATGTACCATCCAATTGGATCACAGGGACACAGAAGCCAAAACCATCAATAGATGGCTTGAATGCCCAAAAAAGTCGTCTGAAATGGCGTTTGTTACTGGCTCTGGCGGTTGTATCTCTTCATCTTGGTGTCAAGGGGAGCATATAGTGCCAGGGTTAGACGCCTCCAATGCCAAGATCAACCTAGGAAGGAATGCATATGATTCTTCCCAATCACCAAATACGGCGGCCAGAGCTTTCTGCTTTCCATGCCACGCCTTCTTATAGTTAATCATATAACCATAATGACTTGCAATGTAAGCGATTATGACTTTCACCTTCAGGTGAGGATCTTGCTCAATTAGATGCTTGATAGTCGCAGCAACCACCCTGGATTTCAACTGTCGATGGCCTTGGGATGTTATGGATCACACACATGTGTGTGTGTTCACCACACGGGATATGACCCAATGGCCGTGTCTCTTGCTGTTGATGGCCCGAATCCTAAAAGTGCATCCCTCGTTATGATTAGAGCATCTGACTTGAGCCTTTTCATGTTGGAATGAGTTGTGTGCCATTCAAAATGCCGAGTCATTGCTTCAGTATCAATGGCGTGCCGCACCTCCTTCTTTGAGCCAAATTGTTGGCCCTTTATAAACACAGTGAGTGGACCCCATACTGGAACCTCCGGGGGTTCCATGTCGTTGTCGACCACCCAATTGCCATCTTCAATGAGATTGTAGTAGGGGACCGGTACACGGTCATGAGCCACCTCATCATCATTATATGAGTCTGACTCTGGTCCTGAATCATCAACACCTTCAAGAGGTTCGGAGCTGTCTTCACTGACGTTGTTCTCTCCTTCTTCATCGGAGGGGTCACTAACTAGTGCTGGCAGGGTATCTTCCATCTGATCCAGCTCATGAAAGGCACCTTCATCAGCTCCATAATGGTAGCTGTGAAAACTATCGCTGCCTGATTGGAAGTTGTACTGGGGTTGGTTGGCATGGTCTGGTTGAACTTCTTCTTCATATGACGGGAAAGATTGATGATGACCTTCACCTTGCTCTTGGTACTGAAAATAGGAATGAGGATCATGGTAACTTTGGTAGGGATGATCTCCATATAATTCACCTCCACCATGGATACCAACGCCTACGACCGCCTCGGTGTAAACGAACATCTCGGCTTTGGAAAGATTGTTGGACCTCAAGAATTCGAGCATGGCATCTACTTCATCTTGAGTGGTTATGAGATATTCCTCGTGCCACAATGACCCACCTTCTCTGTTTGGATATCGATACACCATACGATCAACTCTTCTCGTGCGATCCATGCAAATAACGTTAGTACACATTTGATAGAGGTCTTCAAGCATCGGTCTGGTAGCGACCTTTATTTTCTGAAAATTGCCACCGACGTAGTTGACCCCCTTTCCGCTCTCTTCCGTGTAGCCATTCCACCGTAACCCAAGCGTTAACTTTTGGAATGCCATTTGCAAAAAAACAGTAGTTCAACTAATATCATAAAAATCACAAATCACAATTCCCAGTAAAAAGTAATACAAAATAAACTTACGAGTTAACGTTAACCGCAAAAACACTAGAGAAGTAGGGAGCTACAGCATAAAATTGAAAAGGGAGAAAGAGAGGTGTGAAGAGAAGAGGTTTCCCAGGCTGTCTTTTATAGGCAATATCATCAATGAAAACCGCATGGGGAGGGTGCGTTTTTCATCTGCCATGCAGCCGCACGTCTGTCAATATGCATGGCTACATGTTTGGTGTCGGAAAATAATTGACACACAAACCGCATGGGGGGGGGGGGTTGTTTTGGCAAAACCTCACTTTGGGGGTGCGGTTTGTTTTGGAGAAGCAAAACCGCATCCACAAAGTGCGGTTTTGCTAGGTAAGCACAAGACCGCATCTAGGTCATGCAGTTTTCTTAGATCAGACACAAACCGCATGGCCAAGATGCGCTTTTGGCCCAGAATGCTAAACCGCACTGTAGACACCATTTTTTGTCCGGGTTAAAAACATATTTAACAAAATAAAATTTAGTTTTTGTTTGAGATTTGCAATAGCAAATTTCTAGCCAAAAACGTATTTATAGTATTTGGGAAAGGTCGTCACTTTGCCTCGACTGAGATTAGCAATAGCAAATCTTGCTTGGTACAATTTGATAGAATTAACATGTTAGACATGAATATGATTTTTGTGAGTCTAGTGAGATTGGGTCTAAATTTCATAAACAATAAAACGAAGTCATAACGATTTCTTCAAAATAAATGCAATGCTAATTACAATTAATTAGATTGCTAAATTGCAATTGCATTACACTGTACAATTAAAGAATAAATGAATTTGGCCCAAATCAAAGCCCACCAAAAAGACAAAGTCTACAGTCAAACCAGTCAACAAAGTCGAACCGGTCAGAGAACAGGTCTGACCAAACCCATATCGGTCCGACCAACTTAGACAGGTCCGACCCAAACCCAGCATTGTTCCAAACTTGGGGAACAAGCTGTCTTTCTCTATAAAAAAACACACATTGGCTCTTTCTTCAGGGCGGAGTTTCTGATTCTTCTTCCCCTTCATTATTCTGACCAATTCTTCTTCTTCTTCCTCACGAGCAGGGGAACCAAACCTGCGTCTTCTTCTTCGTCCTTGAACAATTCATTTCCCCTCCCCAAAAAGACAGACAAAAACAGCAAAAACAAGAACATCTTCCTTTATGCTCCCCCACGACCAGATTTCTTTTCTCTCATCCTCTCCTTCTTCCTCTTCTTCCTCAACGCCTTCCATCACCCTTTCTAAACACACACAGATAAACCAGACAAAAAAGGAGTAAAGACCTTGAAAAGTCATCATTTTCTTTCTTCTTTAGAAGCACAAGTGGAAAGATACTCAATAACAATACAAACACAATCTTAGCAACAAAAAACAAACAGAAAGGATAGTGGGGGATCGACTTCTTGGTTCTTTTTTAGACTTCCTTCTCCTAAAAAAACACAGATAACTTTCTTCTTCCTCTACTTTTCCTTTTCTTACAAACAGAAAATGTAGAAAACAGTCTTTCCCTTTCCTCTTCATCACAACAACAAAAACGAACAAGGAAAGAGCACAAGGGCATAGGGGAGACTTCAACAAAGGGCAAATCCTTCACCAAGCAATAGAAAGAAAGGTTGGTAACCCATAATCATCGATTATCACCATATCGTCTCACTTCTACCTTTCTTAAAGAAAGAGTTTTAAGAGAAAATCACAATTGATTACCTCCAAACAAATTACAAGTCGATCTAAACACTTTAACATGAACCAAAGTCTGAATCTCTTTCCCTTTTAAGCATTTCACATCATTATAATCCAACTACTTAATATAGTTATCATCCTTGTACTTATTTTCATCTCATATTCTATCTCTATAAACTAGATAGCATACATGTATTTCCATTCAAGTTAGCTTTCTGAATTTGTTAATACTGTGTAATTATATGTTTCATCTATCACCTCGTTTAAACACTTGTTATGTTACCTTTTTATCCCAAATATGTAGAGATGGTAGTGAAATCTATTAAGCTCCCCCTTTTTTTTTTATCTAAGCATTTACAGATGGTAGTGAAATCTTTTGTTCACTGTAACACCCCGAATTTTGGGTTATGGTTCGAGCATAATACGTGGATGGTTAGATCGACGATTACGTACGAAGGGTTACAATTGCGGATTAGTAATAATAATAATTATTATTATCAGTATTATTATTATGCAATTATATATAGCAAGGACGGACGGTTGGGCGGCCGTCAAAGATTTCCGCACTCCCCATCACAATTAACCTGCACAAAAACTCCTCATCCTACTAGGCTTCTAAAATTTAAACTTAAACCTAAAGCTACCTCCGCCGATCAGCAGTTGTTCCCCCCTTTCCCGGCGATGATCGATTTCCTAAGAAAAGTAAACAAGAGAAGATGGAAAGCTCTCAAACTGAAAGTCGATGGGGGTTCGTCATTGTTGATTTCAGAAAAAAAATAATCAGATCGAGCGGTACACTTCCCGTAGTGCTTTTCGCAACGATGGAATGCCGGGGAATTGGTGGCCGCGAGTACTATCAACGTCTTTCATCCCAGAGACACTACGTTTAGGTCGAACAATTATGCTTGTTCGTGCAAAGGTAAGGACTTGGCTATTTAAAAGACTCTCTGATGTGCATGCATGTGTGAATATAGAAGGGGAGATGAACCTACTTAGATTGTCATCAATTACTCTTTGCCAATTAACTTTGGACAAGAACTGGATACGTGGATACATTATGATGAGAGTGTGGGTTTGAATTCTGGGGCAATGGACATGTGGGCTCAAATGGAAGTAGTTGGCTGATCTGAAGTTTGGACAAGTGTGGCTATGGGTGCATGATGCAATTGGACGCACTAATGTCAATTGGAAAATGGGTTTGGTTTAATACGGCCAAGTGTTAAGGAGTGACACTGCCTTGACTCATAAATTAACTTGGATTTCGGATTCATGGCTAAACACAAGCATAAAGTTAATTACATTATGGACGATGCTCTGAGTTGGTTTAACTAAGCCAGTTAACGTGGTTTTTGTAAGGATGGGAATAAGAGGCAATTGCTATGGTCGACTTAGGACGAATGCACATTCAGATAAGTGCTCGGAGTTAATAAGGTGATTGTAAAGGGGGTAAATCCTACGCCTTACGATATTTAAGTTTTTGAGATTTGATTGCTATGTGTCGTACTTGCCTTTGTATGCTTATATGATGTCATATGATTTGTGTGAGTTATGCTTTCAGTTTTATGTTGTTGTGTGCTTTACTTACAAGTAAGTTTAAGTTAAAGAAACAAGTTCTTTTTAAGAAGTAACTCACATTCAAGAAGGTGAAGTCGTGATTTTAGTCACTAGCGCCAGTCCGTTGCCTTTTGAGACATTTAGAGATAGAGCAGCAGTTATGCTCTTGAGACTTTTAAGATGAGCAGCAGTTATGCTCTTGAGAATCGTGGTGAAGAGCCACCACGATAAGTTTAAGATGTTAGAGGGATGAATCGTTACGACTCCCTAACTAAGTTTAAGTTTAAAGAAAGCCTAGATGGCTTCTCATACGTATGAATTGGCAACCAGACTAGCTAGTGAGGGATCCCCGTGTCAGTCAAGTATTTAAGTCAAGATTTGAGTTTTAAGAGAGGAGAGTAACTTCAACTCCCTCAAAGTTTAAGAGTTAAGATTTTAAGATTGGAAGTACAAACAACTTCCACTAGTTAAAGTTAAGTGTTTAACTAAAGTACTCAAGTATTAGAATTATTAAAACGTAAGGGCGTAGATTGACCCCATCTCACTCACCAGGACTTAGTAAAAGAATAAGCGAGAACTAGATCGATAGTTGCAGCTAGAGGAGCAGTTAGTGAGCAGCGAGATCGAGAAAGTTGTTCGAGGCAAGCCAGCTAGAGGAGGAAAGTATAACCGTCACGGAGGATGTTTAGTCAAGGTTTTCAGTAGCAACAACGTTATAGATTATTAGTTATTTACATTTATGATTATGAGTACAGTCTGGAGATCATTTTGAGATTTTTAGTATTGAGTTTGCCCACTTGTTAGGGCTTTGCTTTGAACTACAAGAGTGTGTTTTTAGTATTTTATTATGAAATTTTTCCCGCTGAAATTCAAGATTTGGTTATTTTATTTTTCAAGGACATTTTAGTAAAAGTAGTACCCGGCCGGGTTAGGGTGTTACATTCACTACATACATAAGTACAAGCAGTTAAAACAACTAAACACACCACAAAATTCCATTTCCAAAACCAATATAAACATACCATAACCGAATTCCCAGAATCAATACCCCCAAACAAGTATACAAGTATACGGAATTTCCAGATTCTAAACCCCTTAAAAACCACAAACCATCATATACACATTGATTTCCAACAATAAACGAGCAGGTTTCAAGATTCAATCACAACCCACAGTTTCAATTTCTGAGAACACCCCAACCCAAATCCGAGATTTCAGAAAAACCGACGTATTCAATTCAAAAAATCATATTATCACTAACTAAGCATGACCCCTAAACCCGAATCAACATCTTGACAAAACCACGTCCAGGCTCGAAATAGATAAGTCCACCATGAACATACGATATTGAGACTTCCTAATCACAGGCAGTAGCAATTTTTACAGTTGATTAACATGTAAATTTCTCCACTTATGATTTTCTTGGTATGAACCAATTATGGGAATTTTAACAAAATCCACCTTTTGAGACTTTAAAACATATAATCCTAGATCGCTAAAATCCCAAACAAAACGCTAAAAAATCAACATGCAACGGTTAGGTACTTACCTCCGGCCGTCAATGTCGTCAATATCTTTGTCGCCGATCTTGCTGTCGTTGTCGCCTTCATTGGTGAGGAAGGGGTCACTTCCATCTCATCGTTATAGAGGGCGAGAGAAGGAGGGAGGTGGATCGAGATGGAGAAAGAGAAGGTCCTTTTTAGAAAGAAAGGCTAGGGTTTCATTTTGTTCGTCGTGAGAAGAAAACGAGAAGGGGTGATTGGGATTGGATTGTTTTTGTTTCTATGTTTTGTTTGTGTTCCAGAGAAAACGAGAAGAAAAGAACGAGAGAGAGAGAGAGAGAGAGGCGAGTGTGGGTGGGTGTCTTTGGGAGCTAGGTTTTGGCTCTGTGCCGAGAGAGTATTGAAACCCGAATCCAGAATTGACTAAAATTCCCCTTTAGTTTCCATGAAATAACCACCTGCCACCGCCTCTTCACAACACAAATGCAAAAATAGGTATCAATGAAGATTCGAACCCACCACTCGATTATCGCAAGAATAGTTCAAGTCAACAACTCAAACCACTAGGCCGATCGTCTGCCACTTGAAAAATTATCTATCTCTTTATTTTAAAATTTAAATAATGTTCATACATAAAATAAAGTCAATTATGATATGATCATTTCGCAAGTTAACGACATATCTTTTCAAAATTCTTATTATGCTAAATTCCCATGGAATTACCGACCTCATTATGTTATCATTACTCGTTTACATATTTTCTCATAACATTTCTTAATATGAAAATCATGGTCAACAGACTGTGATAGACTCTATGATAAAACTTCCCTAAAAGTCGTCAATCATTCAATTACCACATTACAAAGTCAAAATACATTTCCTCTTAACAACTCAATTATCATCTTAACCACAATCAATATAACATGCTAAGATTACTTCAAAATCTACCAATTTAAAATCTCTCGACTTAAACGAACTGCATGGACTTTGATCTCGACTATTCAGGTACGTAGGCAACCAATAGGTTTTAAGTCCAACTAACCATTTTTCTCAACAATTCAATGTACAAGTGTTAACATTTCAAAAACTCTTTTCTTTACTTTTGATGATTTCGTCAATATGCGTATCATCAAATTGCATATAAAAAAATACCAAATTAATTGAATATTATAAATACGTAAATAAGGTGCAAATTATAATACACCCAACCTTTAAAAACTTATCGATTTAAGTAGTATCGATTTAGGGCGTTGTGGGGTGTGAATACACTTCCCCATACGTAATCGTACTCCCGAACCTGTAATCTTAAATTTCGCCCACCAAAATCCGGTTTCGACTCTAAGGTCGAGACCGAAGCATATGGTGTTCGATCCACCACAAATAAGACCGATGGCGACTCCGATCATTTCGCGGCGGGTCCTCCGATTCGGAGGTGCGGTTGCGACAGTGGCGACTCCGCTAGGGAACTAAAGAGAGCCAAACTACATTAACAATCGATAAGCATTTTCTTACTTTCTTAATGGGTGTAATATGTTTACTACATTATTTCTGCTTTAAATTTCTGTTGTATTTAATTGTTTGTATTCATCCATAAGAGCTCTATTCCCGAGCTGTTTGAACTCAAATCCGAGGATGATTTGGGGTATCATGCTAAAACTCGAAAGGGTTATAGTGCGGTACAACTTGGGAGCCTGATCCCTTAAGATCCCTATCCAGCATATAGTTTGCCTGGAAACTACCTAAACTGCAACTTATCCCAGAGCCTACCCAAAAACACGACGTTGTGCTGCCAAAAAACCCTAGGTTTACCTCAATAATTCAAAAGTTTGTGAAAGAGTTATATTATGATCAGTTCATAACTTACTTATGTAGGGTAATGTGTGCTTTTTCAATTATTCGTGAATGATATAATTTGATTATATGTGTGAAGGAATTTTAAACTCATTACGTCATCATTTCCTCATTCATTCACATTAATCATTCTAAATTTAATTTTATAAAATAGACATGCATCCACCGAAAATCATTTCACATTTACATCATTAGCATAAGATCAATCTCACATATACATCTCATTTAGTCGCATGACACAATTTAACATTAATAAATCATAATCAAGGATTTTCTAAAGTTGCTCATCCACAAGAACAAGTCAACACATTGAGTACACAACCAAATCCAAGGCTGAGCCCAGTATGGAGTCAATCCATAAGGAATCGGAAGACATCAAAAGAAGGGTGATGGGACTCGAAGGCATGAAAGAAGAAGTTAGCATGATCTTGAGCATATTGACCAACAAGGAGAAGGCAGTAGAAGTCAAAGATGGTGATGTGTTACGCACGGACGAAAACTTATGCCAACCACACGGTGAAGGAACATCCAGTAACAAGTTTGACTCCTTATCTTCGAAGAACATGTATGATAAAGAAGATCTTAAAGAATCCATGTAACACCCTACCCTATACGTTTTGCCTAATGATATTGTTCATACAATTGCAGCGGAATTAATCTCGGGTGTTACATTAATTATCAAAATTTACCCAAATAAAATTTCGACATGAATTACTCGCGTAATGGGCTAACAGTTCTTGTAGCTAAAACCTGCAAAATAATTTATCTGAATCCATGCATTCAATGACAAACATATATACTCACAACCATATGCATTGGCTTATCATAGCCATAGTCACAATTTCATACTACACAACTGCATACCATACTAATACAAGCCATAATCGTCATAACTTACACAATTACAAAAATATACACATATCATCAACTTTCCACACCTGTCGATATCTCACACTACATCTGAAGCTAGTATGCACATGAAAAACGTTCTCAAAACATTTTACAAAAGGGTGTGGATCACTGGCCAAAATCCCGAGTAGTCGTCCGAGCACAGAATAGTTGAAGACCATACCTCATCTTGCCTTCAACTCTTGCTCAGCTCCCCCCTATACACCTATCTACTGCTGATGATGATGATCTGCTTACACGTAGCATAAGCAAAGAAGAAGAATAAAAGAGGGTCAGCTCATAGCTGAGTGAGATAATCATAGCATCGTGAGTTCATAACAGAGCATACCCCTACCATACATCTAGCAAACAAGCCAAAGCACTGGGATCATATCTCAGCTCTCCGACATCCCAATAGGAAAAAGACTCAACCACCTTGACTTATGCATATGCATCTTATCATGTTTTACTTATAGGCGCCTGGCTACTCCCATGCTAATAACTCTCCCGGGAAACATACCCCACATCCCGTCGGATGTAGTCATACATAACCCAACATCCCGTCGGATGTGGTCATACATACCCCACACCACTATGGGTGTAGTCATACCCCGACACCGCTCTGGGTGTGGTCATATCTCATAAGAATTCTTCAGTCACCACCACATGAGAGGTGTGACTATCACACATATCATAATAGAGTAATAGCATAGGGAGCCCTAATTACTATGTAGTTGACCGTGAGACCACAACACTCATATTTGGTATCCTTATACATGATTCATATCTCATATTGCTTAATCATAATTCATTACTTGCACATGTACTTGACCTGGCCATAATTGGCTCAACATAGGTAATTTAGGAGTCGTATAATTGCACTTCCTCGGGATAAACCCTCGTGCAAGTCATCCTCCTTAAAACATCATACTATCACCTTGGGAAGTTTATTCCCCCACTTATGGATCCAAATACAACCATAATATCACACCATGTCAAAACCCCTTATCGAACAACCATGAAGTCATATCAACAGTTAAGCCACAAATAGCAACATGTATGCAATCATCCACATAAACAAGGTTCATATCGATTACGGCAAGTCAATAATATCATACAGCAGTCCAGGGTTCATCATATAGCACGAAAGTCCATACACCCCTAATCATGCCATTCTAGTTCACCTAGGTCAATTCTAAGCATCAATATAATTATCGTGATACGACAAACCCGGTATGCCGTGCTAATCCCTCACCAGTTCTGGTCGTTCAAACACCGGTTTAACCTTCCCGTACTAAAACGTCAATTTTACGAACGAACCCCGAATTAAAATCCGAGACCGTCCTAATATCCCCTGCAGTATCCCCGTCAATATTAGTTCTGGGCTCCGGGTCAAATTCTCGATAAAAACACATCAAACCCTGGCCGGAGCTAAATTCAGCGGTTTGGACCCCGGCCTAAATAATTGCTGAAATTCAGGGATTAGAACTAGAGGATTGATTACCTCACTGCAGGAAGCTCGTATATGAAATTCGGGCTCAAGCTGGCTTCCGGATACTCCGAAACCCTAATTTGGCTTATCGGGAATTCAAGAAATTCCTGAACCAAAAACTCGTTTTAAAGCTCTAAATCGATAAATCACGATGTATAGATGAATTAGGCATTACTTACGGGATTTTTGGATCACTTATGCTCAAGAATCGAGCCTTGGAGTTTTTCCCCGAAGTTCCCCTGTACGCTCTCTCCGCTCGCTCTGGTTTTTGCTTCTCTCGGTGGAAAATGGAAATAGACGATGATGATGTGAATTAAATGGACGAAGTATATATATATATAAAATTAATACGTATACTTATCCGATCGATCGATAATCCGATTTTCGTCAAAATAGTGTCGAAATGCTCGATTTTAAATCGTGAAACTTTCTAGCGATCGAAATATGGGTTTTGCCGTAACGGGATGTTACAATCCAAAAAAGATAACTTACACGATTTAAATGATTTCGAAGAGCAAGAGATCAACACAACATTGAAAGGCAAAAGCGAGTGCATGGGTGAGAATATAAAGGAATTTGAATCATACGAGGCTATGAATGCACCACATCCACATGAAGTTCCATACATGGTGTTCCCCCATGAATTTCAAATGCCAAATTTCGAACAATATAATGGCACCACTTGTCCTAGAAGTCATTTGGTCATGTATCATCATGCAATGGCCAACCATACTCAAAACGAGAAGTTGATGATGAGATGCTTCCAATATAGTCTAAAGGGTATGGCTTTGGAGTGGTACCTCCAGCTCGAGAAAACTAAGTCGGGAAAATGGGGAGATCTAGTTACTGAGTTTATGATGCACCACAAGGTCCCTCAAACTCTGTCACCAAATAGGGAAGACTAGCAAGATATGGAGAAGGAGGAGAATGAATCTTTCCATGAGTATGCTCAGAGGTGGAAAAAGAAAGCTAGTTGTATTCAACCCCCACTACCAAGAAGAAGAAATGGTATCAATATTTCTCGATACATTGAAGCCTCCATTTTATAACAACATGTTGGGATTTACAACAACTAGCTTCAATGATTTGTCGATAATTGGAGAACGAATAGAGAACGGA